ACATGATACAACAAGGAAAATTGCTTGTGTGCCATAAACTTACTAATAATTGGAAGGGTCCATATCTGGTGTTGAAGCAGCTTGATGATTTGACTTACCTGATCCGTGCATCTCCGAAGATGGTTCCAAAGGTGGTGCATATTGATCGTCTTCTTCCTTACCGAGGTTCAAATCTACCAAAGTGGTTCCAAGACTATATACCGAAGAATAATTGATATTTACTGTTGCAAGCTTTAGTTTCTTTATTTTCAACTTGTATGTACATTCGCAATAAAATGGTTTTAACTCACCTATGTTCATTCACTAAGGAGTGTTTGAAGGTACGAAGGATGATGTTGGATTCGCCTTCGTGGTTCATATATTGGGGAATATATGATTACAGGACCCAAGGGGGGCTCTGTGTTCTTTATGTATATGTGGTATATACATGGTTGTCTAAGCCTTGTGCACAGGTTAGACTGTTAACTTACCTCACGGTTGTTATAGGTGGTAGATGAGGTAACCATCAATCTTGGACTATATATACAAGCCTTAACATCATTCGTTATAGCAACAGAAATATACATAACGTTTACATTTAAGCGTATCGAACTTTTTCCGTCAAATCAGCGCGCTTCGGAAGCAAATAACCCTAGACGTATCAAATTCTGTACCGTTTCAAATTCCGTAATAAATCGAGAACACGTATCAGAGGAATGGCTGGCTTATGCAATGGGAATCCATGTATAAAATGTCATGGCCTAAAACTTAACAAGATGTTGTATACCTATATTTTCAGTATGGTTCACACATGCTGGTCCTGTGGTAAAGTTTTGAGACCAAGGATCAACTCCGTACTCACTACATGAATAAACCACACAGATTTCTGGAGGTTATGTGTGCCTGGTGTTTTCAATTGTTCAGAAGACCAGTAGACTTACGTTCGCACATCAACAGCAAGCATCGTTCTGTAGCCAAGAAATATGTGCCTAACTTTCCATCTGATAAGGAAGCTTTCTTTGCTGCAGTAGAGCCAAGGGCATACCGGACATGCGTAAACGGGACACCTGCTGAAGTTCCAGGTATACACGAAATGAAGGAGCTACTGTTGAAGTGCCCCTCTCATTCATCTGATAAGTGGCAACATGGTTGGGACAGGCACGGCCCTCTGTCTACTGTACAGTATGGATCATGTGAAGCCCGGGAAAGGTCGTATTCCCCTACGAGACCAGCAATGTGGACAGCTGAATCGTTGGAGATAGGTTCGTATGTTTCAAAGGTTGTTGTGTTTGGTGGAAAAGGCGAGCACTACCGACTGTCTCTGGAAAGTGTTGAGCAAAGGGTTCGAGACCGAATGATGAGAACCATGGCCGCCATCAAGGAAGCTCCATCATTCATTCCAAAACAGTGGGAAACTGTTAAGTTATCTCCAGATGTCGAGAAGATGTTAAAGGCAGTGGGTCTGGATGGTATAACGGTGGTCAAGGTTGAGATGAAGTCGATGGAAGCCAGCTGTTGATAGCCAAAGCCCACCAGCAAAGAGGAGATCAATGTCGCCATTCTCGCCTTCTTCCCTATTGTCCAATGCCCCCTAATTTCTTTTCCCCAACCCCCATTACATGAACCAAGAACTTGATTTTTTATGATGTAGAACCAGAAGGGTCGCCACAAAAACAGCCTATTCGCTTCCCGGTCTCCTTATATACACTCAAACTGAAACTTAGCTTCTAGATTGTTTCTACAGGTCAGCTTATGCTGACATCATGTTATCTGCTACATGCCAATAAGATTGTCCTCTCATCAACTACTTGGTCATCCATCAAATTATCATCTGTGACTTCTTTGTTCTTTTCTTTCAACTGATGTATTCCCAGTTGTTAACATGTCATCCACTCCTGCTCCAGCCACTATTTCTTACATCAGCAAAAGAAGAGATCAAAACACAAGTGACATTGTAATCTTCAAATTTGGACAGTTCCTACAACCTATTCGCTTTCCGACTGTCACAATTGAGAAGCCAGCTTCCAACTATTTTCAATACTGAACCTGAATCTGAGAATAACCATATTTCAAATGAAGATATAGCAACTTTACTTTTGATGTCTGGGGAGATGCCACTTTTACCTCCAGCAAGGCGTGACTGGGAAAAAGTAGTTCCTATAAAAGATTCCACTTCCAGGTCCCATCACCACTTGGCCACCAGAAGACTGGAGAACGTTAAGTCCAGACAATAAACTTCTTCTGTGGACGACAGTTGCCACTTCACTGGCTATTCACTGGGGTTTTCCCTTAGACAGACATTACATTTTGGACGCTTTCCAGTTTTTGGCCCTCCCAGGAACCAGAGATGTTGAGATTTCTTCAGCTGAGGCTCGTCTCCGCCATTCAAACTTCACCATTGTACGTAATATTGCTCAGAAGAAACCTGTTGTTGGAGCCGACAAACTTATGGCCATCTATGAAGCTGGATATCAAAATAGTTTCTCAGCACAAGCAGGACCTTACAGAGATTTCCTCCAAAGTATAAACCATATTCCAATCAGGATCTGAACCTCAACACAACGACCTGGAATATAAAGTGTAATATTAATTAATAAAAGTAAGTAAACAATTTAGGGACAATATCATGGACTTTAAAATTTAAAATATATATTTGTAACAGATACAGGAGTATCTAATTCTTTAAGGTGGGGAGCGTGTAATGGAATACCTCCCTTACAAATTTGGACATTTCAAATGACATGACAATTTACGTTATACTTTCAACAGAAATCAACATGTGCATATATAATTCTATAAATCATGAACTGTTCTTACTTAAAATGTATTAACAATGATCAAATAGTGCTACCTTTTTAACAAATGGACTTTATTCCACGAAACACAACGTAAAACTTGAATATCAGCATTGTTGACAGTTCTCTTTTAAGAAGAGTATCACATTAGGATAGATAACTCTCGCTACAAAATGGTCAGATGACCCTAATTTATTTCCTGATGAATATCTAATAATTTGGAACATTTACAGTTACTATAATATATCACAAAGTGAATATCTACAGACATTATTGGAAGATTCAGACGGCGCTTTCTTCTGTCATTTTCCATGTTTAAAAATGGCGGACACAGAACTTTGGAACTACTTATTTGTATTTCAGTCTGGCTTTTTATGAATGTATATTTGTTTACATTTAAACTTTCAGGATTTCTTATTTATGTAAAAATAATTGTAAGCCTGATTTGAGCCGGATGATTTTCTGTCTTTATCATATTTTATTAAGTGAGAACTGTATTTTATCTGCGTAATAGAATACGTCTGCATATATCACTACGCTTGAGTATTTTGGACCGGCTTTTTGTAAATATGTATTTCTAAATGTTATTTCAGATATGTTTATGTGGCTTTTTCAATTAAGCCATATATGTGCTACTTATGTCTGTTAGAACTTCTATTGTTATTGCTATATTGTTAAATATTGTTAAAGACTGATCACTGGACCTAGTCTTAAGCCGGGATTTTCATTGGCTGGGGCACTCTTTGTAGCGTCCCCAAAAGTTTATAAATAGGGGTGACTGTCGTCATTTGGCATCTTCTTCTCAACCGTAAAAACTTGAGAAGTACCAAAGCAACAAAGCTTAAATTCTTTGAGCCTTAAGTCGTATTACGTCTGATATATCTATATATATATATATATATATATATATATATATCCTGCAACCACTTACTTGCTTACTTATAAGGTATCTACTATATATTAGATAAATAATAACTTACCTTAATTTGCTGGTCGTTAAGCTATCCAGTACTATCGTAAACAACAACAGTTTACTTACAGAAGTCTATTACAAATTCATTTGATGCTGAACCTAATATGAATTATCACGTTATGGCAGACTCTAAAAGATGTATTGGTCTTAGAAATTTCCAACATCCTGTCATACTTTGCATTTATTTGTAACTAAATGTTCGTAACCGAAGAAGATCCCATTGCATAAGCCTAGGTCCTCTATTGTCGAGTATTGTCAATGCCGGTATTTAATCCATCGAAGAAGAATTGTTAATGCCGCCCGATATTAATCCGTTTATAACGATAGATCTACGTCACAGAGTAGTATTGTCAGCGAATATCATATACATATTTATTGAGATGTACTTGTTATATATGATGTCACATTATTAAATGACGTTTACATGTTAATCGAGTTACTGATGTCTTGTACCAGTTTCCTGTGTTTATACCAATGAAGGACTTACCTATATTTGTACACTCCAACCTAAGTAATAAGTCGATAAATCCTGGTTATTAAATATCCTGACAAGATGACCAGATACTTACAAAGAATCCCTTGATGAAACTATGATGTCTCTATTATGATCTGAGCCTACCTCTTATGATGTACTGGTATACTACAAAGATGGCTAAGATGTGTTGAAGCTATGTCTGATGTTTAAAACAACAGCTACTTGTAAGTGTATGTAATATGGGGTAGAAGTATTGCCATACACTTACTAGTTAATACAGTGGCCGGTATCCTGATTAATAAGGATTTGGTAACTACCCTAGGGGGGTAGGTCCTTACAACTGCAATATATAGAGAAGCTAACATCGGGTAATCATATTTGTATAAGCATAAAGTAACCCCAAGTTTAAATAATGGGCTATGAACCAAAAAAATACTTTAATCTAGTTTATTTTTATAGAGATTGTAAATTTTCTACAAATTTTAAAGTTAAAAGTCCCAACCAAGGGATTTTTTTGGGCGTTCGTTGGAAAAAATTTTTGCAATGTCCACGGAAAATTTCTGTCCCCCTCAGGGGCCCTTTAACCCCTATCCGACCCCCTGTGTACGCTTCATGATAAAGAGTTTCCGGTTTAAAATAACAAACCCATGGGCCCTTTAAATTACATTTGGAAATTTTTCGGTGAAAAGGAATGCTGGAGAATTCTGGCGGTTGGTTTTTGTAAATATCGTTTGTTGTAAGCATGCATGTTTCCCCACTTAGTTTCCCGCCCCTTTTTTCAACATAAACCCCTGTAAACAAAGGCCCCTCCGGACGGATATTCGTCTACCGCCTGTTATAAGAATCAAATTGATATAAAATTAGTTAAACTCTTATTATCAAATTGTTAAAACTATACATTCTCTGTACTGTGATTTGTTGTGATCTTGGGTATCTACATATGCCAAGAAAAAATGAATATACAAAATAATTCCAGTTACACCAAACTAATGTCAATCTACTTGTAAGAGACGTTCTGTCTATTAAACGATTTTGCTATTATTTTGTAAAAGCATATCTTAGAATTCACGATTGTTTAACTGTGTTAAGTGATCTTGCATTTACGCTCTAATTACATTTATCGAGTTAAACTTGGATAAGAAAGATTAAGAAGCCTTACTGTTGCCAAGACAGTTGATGATCCACCAAACTGACGGTTGTTTACAACGTTACTTCCGGCAGGGAATGTTCCTACGTCAAGGAAAATCTTAACGTTACTTTTGTTGCTGTTTCCCACAGATATTTCCAAAAAGGGGTTTGGGTCGGTATAAACCCTATTCCTTTTTCTGGGCCCATGTCACACGGGAGAAAGGGTTTACCTTTTTCCCGATTCTAAGAGAAAAAACAGTTTTTTAAGGGGTAAAAAAGAAAATTTCATAATTAGTAAAGCTAATGCTCAGGTAATGAATTTGGTAAATATAGGATTTCCGTGCAAAGTTGCAAGGGATCGTTCATTTGTGATTTAAAATGATTTATAAAATGAACAGAGTGCTTAATTTGAATTTTCTATATGATATTTTGCTGAACTAAGATCGTAAAAGCTACATTTTTGTGATTTATACATTATGCTCAATGTTCGTGCGAAACATAACTTACAACAATCGACAGATTTTTCATCAATGCTCTATCATAGAAGTGACAATTCAAACATTCAATGCTATACAATGTTGAACATATACTTACGCCTTTCTTGTTTACTACAGGTGAGAACTGAGGTGGCGATTCGTCTTGTTCTTTCGTTGAAACGTCGATCATGTTTTTTTTTATAGTTGGCGCCGTATATTCCCAAATGTTTTTGCTGAATAGTGTCTTTTTAACCTTTATGAATAGTATTTTTACTTCAAGAATTACTAAGCCAATCAATCGAAGTCTGACTGGGGTTAGTTCCAAATCCATTTTTAATCTGAAAATCATTTCGATCAAATCAATTTAGTAATATAAAAGTACAACTAACATCCTGGTGACATTATGTCAGAGTAAGCTGTAGGGCGCCGCCATTTTGACGATCAGTTACTTTTGTGAGACTGGCGAGATCGAGATTATGACGTGATACATCCCTTGTACGAGTAGTAGAGTGCGCTTTTTACGACCAAAATATATTTTGATGAACAACAATCTTTGAATTTGGGGAAAAAAACCCATATGGATCTCAAAATTGTTCATCGGTTAAAAAATATATGTGAATTTCCGCTGATCCAGATATGCACTATATCATCAAATGTGCAGGAGAAAATAGGTAAATCACAGGGTAAGTTTTCACCTTTTTTAACATTTAATATATAAATTTCAAAGCTTTGCTTAAGAAAATCGAACTGTGACTTTAACCACCTGACTTTTTGTTATTTTTACCCATTTTTGTTCCGATTTTTGTGCAGTCTGAGTCGAGATATTCTTTCCGTCGTGGTATTATATATAAAAAAAAACTGCAATGCGTATGTCGCTAAATAGACTCAAAATAGAGTTTTCTCAAATCTTACCACCAAACGATGCTCAACATTCAAATAACCCCTTATTGAAAAACATAAAGGAGATTTGGCTCATAATTAAGGAAACGCCGGTCAAAATTTTAGTAGAGCTCCATATGTGCTGAAGAGATCCATATATATATTATCATATCGTTAAGCTGATGTGCTGATTATAAACATTTACGGTTATGTAACAATAACAGCTTGCTGTCCAAATTATAGATTTAAGGTTCTTCATTTACCATTGTCATACAAATATTCATTTGATTTTGCCTTGTGTACTCGACATGAGAGGGTTTTTTTATTAATTTTGAGGAAAAAAGTTTACTTCCAAATCACTGCATGACAATCAATCTGAAAATGCTTGTTTCTGTGAGTGAAAATCTATAAGATACACTTGTGGAATATTGAAGTGATGTTTATCTATATAATTTTAAATAATTTATGAAGACAAAAATATATAGTACGATAGCTTTACAAAGATTTAGCCAATTTCACTTGTTTGCTGTTTAATATAATTATAAAAGTTTTGCTTGTGAAAGTTACGGTTCCTCAGAGGTAAATTATTTATCATAAGAGTAGTATTCGGCCTGAGTCAAATTTGTTATATATATTAAATACTCGGTATTATTTGGTATTTCTATTGTTAGCATCATATAGTTAACAGATTGATGAAGTGATATCTAATTACCAAACACACGGACTAAGGAACTTTCAGCAAAAGCTACGAAACGTTAGTTGTTTCATCAGATATTCAATGATTACATGAAGTGATCCGCAGTCTTCTAGATGTTTTTCTATATCACCTATGGATCTCTTTTGCACATATGAAGCTCGCCTGGAATTTTGACGAGCAGATCCCTTTTTTTCAGCCAAATCTCAATAAATGTTTCAGTAAGGGTTTGATCAAATATTAAACAACGATTGGTGGTAAGATTTATTTAGAAAACTGTGTAATTTGAGCTCGTTTAGCGACATTTTCTTCATACGCATTGCATGTTTTGGCACACAAAACCCTATTTAAATATATGTTTCTGGTGACTACATACTAGCAAGATCTTATTTACTTATCTTTCGTGGCGATTCGATAAGTTTTAATCGTAATGTACACGTCACGAATATCTGTTTTATGCACCCAATACACATACATAGCTGCGCCTATTGCTTGGTATAAATTAGTGACCTAGCGATTTTCTTGTATTAACTTTTTTATTTCTGCATTGCCTTTAATTTCCCTTAAACTGAATCCAATAAAGGGCGTAAATCAAGACAATCGTTACTCACGTCACGTCCAAAGGAAATTTTGAAAATCTAATTTCAGCACGGGTAGGAAACTTAAGGTCCATGATATCTCCTTCCAATTGAAGCTTGCCATATAGTATATAACCCACATCAACTTCTCCATAACAGGTCAACCCTCCGTAAGGTACGACAGTGGCTCCTGCTGTTTGAGCAATAAGTTTTCCTTCCCATCCAAAACTCAAGCCATAATAGCCATTAGCTCCAAATGCTTAAATGCGAAGTATCGTTAACAGTTCAAATCACGATTTACAAGACATTGAATCTGAAAACTTGTATTTTATGTTTTAGGCAGAATAACATACATGTAATCTAAAAAATATATAAAGAATTTCCTAGTATGCCGTCATCGGCTCTCGTATCATTTATAGCTAGCAGATGAATTACTTCTATTCGAGATTTTTTGATGTCATGATCCATATAAATATACCTTCCAAGAAATTATTTCAGAAAACTTCATATTTCATGATAATATATTATAAAATACTGTATCTATGATTCACGATTATGTTATTGAATATAAACATAAAGTTACACTTACAAAATTTTAGTGAAATGAAACCTCCCAGGTTAAATATTTTTTCATATTTAAATAACTCAATATTTTTCCTCGGCATTGCAAATCGTCCAGTCAACGAGATGTCAAAGGATTTGAAAGGGTTGCCAAGGCCTCCGGAGAATAATTTTTCAACCACTTCAGAATACTAATGATACAAAAACATTAACCAAATCAAAATCGTTTCATGAAAAATATTAACCAATAAGTAGGAAGAAGAACATTGTGTACAACAAAATGTGGTTATTTTAGTAATTACTATCTTGATTTTAAATCGTATCTTTTTCACACTAAGTTTACTGTACCTACATAGACAGTAAGCAAATGTAGATTATTTAGATCTTGGTTAAACTTTACCTTTACAGACGATTAGCCTACTTTTGATTAAAATGTAGACTGTTAATAATTTTCCTATTGATCTTAAGAAACTAAAACACATATGCTCTTAATAGACATTGATAAAATATTCATTTTACAAGGCATTTCCCAATCTTACCAAGGCTTTAGCTAGATCTATAAAATTATGAACAAGTTTTCCAATCATGGTAGGATCGACTTTATTGGTTTCCAGCATTGCTTCTAAATCACCAATAGTCATATTTGCAAGCTCTGCACCGAGTAAGTCCGTCCCTTTCTTTGAAAGTCCCTTTCCAACAACAAACAATTGATCAGCGCGGGTACCAATGTCATTTACTTTTCCGATCATATTCACGATTTTGTCGGCTGTTTTGAACAAAGAAAACACAACTCTGTAACATTCATTTTCTTTTCACACATGTATATATAGGTAGACTGTTACATCACACATAATTATATATATTAAGTAATACATGACATAAATTTTTACACTCTTCTTGATCATATAAACAAATATAAGAAATACATGTAACTTCTTTGTCTAGTGCTGTTATTTGGGAATGACCAGACTAGTGTTTATGTAATTTAGCCAAATGGTTTATCAAGCAAAATGTTTATGACGTCATATCTCATTAAAGCTGTACTTAACTGTTGAGCATTATGTTTACTGTTTAAAAAAAGCTATAAGAATGTTGAGAAAGATACTAGAAGGTCAGGGTATTGCATTGTAACATGGCCAACGATTGGCTGAAAAAAGTGCAGGGAAAACCGTATGAATCACTATATACATGAGGTGATTGGATGAGAATGAGGTATTTTGAAGTGTAAAAACTAAATTAAAAAGTAACACTATACTGTTTTCTGAAGAAAATGAAATATTTCATGAGTCTCTATGATAATTTTGCCTTGGATATTTGCATTTATTAAAAGTGTATGCCAGTCCTGTGATCAGCAGAAAATTTCAATGAAATGGGGGGTAATCCTCTTTGAAGTCATTTTGCAAAAAAATTGGTTGGCTACCACTATATAACAGGAACATTTTTATGTGTCAGGCATTTCATTCTGCTGGAAAAATCACCTCTTTAGCATGAAAACTCAATTTTAAGGTAGGATTAGGGACCATTTCTTATAATGTAAGTCTATGGAAATATCAATGTGAGTGTCTGACCTAAAGAGAGGGACATTTGAACTGTCATAATTCTTTGTAGTACTTTGTCTTCATTGATTACACCATGAAAAGCTGATATTTTGGATGAATGGATGTATACAGCCTTTCAAGGTATGAAATTTCATTATTTCAATGCAACTGTTGGTGTTTACAGCAGATAATGTGTCAAGGGGGTCAATCTACAAGCATTGAATACATATGAACAAGTGTATTAGTTTTGCTTAACAGTTAATAATGGTTTATATTTTCTTTAAACAGTGAATTTGAGTGAAAATCAATTGGTGATATGTTGATGATAAATAATGTAGACCTTGGTCATTAAAAATATGTTTTCAGATTTCAAAGAAATGCTGTACATTGGCTATACACATGCCAGGTTTGAAGACTTCATTTATAACTTGACAGGACCTGATGTAAGCACATTGGCCACTTTTGATGGGTGTTGCAGGTATATCACTACAAATGCATACTGTCGGGTTCAAAACTAATTTATTAATACTTATAATAGTTTAGGGTGCTGTTTCGGTTAACTTTTCGACTTTGTTTAGGGGCGGAAAGTTCTTCGCTCGGCACTAATTTTTTTTCCATTTTGCTCAAATATTTAGTAATACATAGAATGTCACAAATAAATTGCTTCTATGTCTGTTTCCCATATAAGAATGTTATGTGTTTCATTTACAGGCATAGATAGTATAAAAGCTTCAAATAAATAGCATTTTAAGGCTTCTGTCTTAAAATTGACTTGGTTTCAGGGCATGAATATCAACACATACTTAGAAATTGAAATGCATTGAAAAATGTAGCATAATTCAGTTAGGTTGCCTCTGAATATCCCCTTATTATATGGTTTAGATGCAAAAAAGTGTTAAGAATTTATTGTTTTCTATTTGGTAATACATATTTACACATTCACAATGTGTAATGCCATAAATTTTAGACTTAATGTCTGTTAAAGGCATATTTGAATGAGCATTGTAATAGCCAAGGGTAGAATTATTTTGTAGAAAAAGTTTTATTGATAAGTTAAAGTTGATCTACTTTTTCACAATTATATGAGGCACAATTATAACACAGCTTTAGTGTCTCTGATGTGTCTATAAACAGAAAAAGCGCTTATTCAGGTAGATAAATGTACACAAAGGGGGTGATTATGTACATAATATTCAGTGAATTACCTCCCTTTATATATTTAGAAACTTAAATAAGTGCATAAATTCTAGTTTCTGGCTACCTAAATTGAAGAAAATACACAAATACTTTCCATTCCAAGTACATTTTGGCCTAAAGAGGTGATTTACATGGTGAAACACCTGAAAGAAGGTTTCAATTGTCAAATTTGGCTCCAAATGAATGCAAAAATGGTAAAAAAATGGGTGTAGAAGTCAAACTTTAGGCTATTACTGTGCTGTTAAGTCCAGAGGAACTTGGTTTTTCCATGTATTGCATTTTTTATATCCATGAAAGAGAGAAACAAAATATATATAAATGAATTTTGGCACTTTATTGACATTTAGGCTTGTATTTAAGACTATATTAGCAAATATTTGGAGTAGAAAAGAATAGCAGGGGCAGTTTAAAGATACCTAGTTACATCCAAAATGTTGCTATGTGTGTGCAAATAATGTGTAATCCATAATCAGGTCACTATACAGTAGTTATTAAGTATGTTTGCTAAGCTAAATCTTCATTCGGGAAGTCTGTTGGTAATAAAATGTGGAATTTTGGGTGAAAAATCACTTATTTTGTTATGGGTGGGGTGATAAAATTGCTCCCTGCTACATCTTTTTGCTACAAAATTAGTACTTTGAAGCACTTCTGTAATGAGAACAGTGTAGTTTTGCTATCTGAGTGATTTTATAGAAGTTGTTACAAAATTGGCTTCAGAATAATGAATTATGTATGAAAATCACATGCTAACATTCTTTTTCAGAATATCCGGAATGCGGCACACTGGCGCTTTTTAGAATAAAGGGAACTTCAAAGTTTGAAATGACATAAGAGTGATGAAAATGTATCCATATAATTGGTAATTGTATTTGCAACTTCATTTATTATTAGATATTAGAATATTAAACATTTATTTAATATTCCCTTTAGGTCAGGGATCGCATTGTAACATGGCCAGCGATTGGCTGAAAAAAGTGCAGGGAAAACCGTATGAATCACTATATACATGAGGTGATTGGATGAGAGTGAGGTATTTTGAAGTGTTAAAACTAAATTAAAAAGTAACACTATGCTGTTTTTTGAAGAATATTTCATGAGTCTCTATGATAATTTTGACTTGGATATTTGCATTTATTAAAAGTGTATGTCAGTCCTGTGATCAGCAGAAAATTTCAATGAAATGGGGGATAATCCTCTTTGAAGTCATATAACAGGACCATTTTTATGTGTCAGGCATTTCATTCTGCTAGAAAAATCACCTCTTTAGCATGAAAACTCAATTTTAAGGTAGGATTAGGGACCATTTCTTATAACGTAAGTCTATGGAAATATCAATGTGAGTGTCTGACCTAGAATGCATTATAAACAGTTACACATATTATATTTCCACAAACATTTTACTCGATCGCTTCTGTCTTGAACTTATACTAATAATCTCATTAAATTAAGCCCTTTTTACATTTCATAGGACATAGGATAAAGCAACTATCTGTAATCATATTTCGAATGACGCTTAATGTTTAGTTATACTTAATAATAGAATAAACATAATAAGAATAATTTTGTATTTTCTAAATAAGTCATTTCGGTGATATTTTGTTTCTACATTTTAATAATCAATTGTCCTGTGAATAACAATGAATGTCTGATATGAAAAAAAGCTAAAACTATTTCTGAAAAATGCTTTCTTACCGCCCTTGATATCTACTTTGACATAGCCTTCTGATTTTCTGTGTTTCAAGTTTTGAGGGTTATGCTCTCCTAATGCCTTAACAGTAGCTGCATAGCCAGTGCTAGCATCTGAGTCACTTAGTTCTTCGCCTTCCCATACTTGAGCTTTTTTATCATTCTTGAAGCAAAAGAAAAATCTACCTTATATACCATAATCGTGCAATTTCTCTGATTCATTGAAATGAATATTTAATTTGATAAACTACGCCAATATGAACATTAAAACAGACAGAATATGCTATGCCAAGTTTTATTTTTCCTAGACAAAGGGTAACAAAATTGTACCTTCTGACATGACAGACAGACAGACAGTCAGTCAGTCAGTCAGCCAGACAAATATATGAGCACAGAATTTTCATTCATACCTGGTATTTGATAGCATCGTTAATGAATTGCTGTATATTTTCTTGCGATGTCCCTTGGCTCAATAAAATAGTCACTGCTTCTTTTATGTCCATTCCAAGACTATCAAATAGAATGAATTCACTTATTTCACAGTTTTCTGCAAAATCCAACTTGCTTATACTCGTGTTATATTTTGAGGGGAATGAATTGTGAAGCTTAGGACTTTTGTCACGCATGTTTTATTTAAAATCGATTAATTGGCTTTCGTTGATCAAATTATTACATTGAACGTATCAAATAAGAAACATTTAAGACATTACGTACAATATTGTGACAATTAAGCGGAACGTCAAATGACTCTTTTAGCTTTAAGTTTAATGACAGAATATAAAAAATAAACTGTTTTAGCATATAAACATTATCATTCCTATGGAGAGCAAGTAACAGCAAAGAATAAATGACATAAGTAAAATACTAACGTAACAACATCTTGGACGGCTTGACGTCGTCGTCGTCTTCCAGCAATTGCGCATGTTAGTTTCTGCGCCATTCGGAAGTTGAGCTGACAGTCGAATGAATTTCGAGTACCTGTACATACTGTTATGGTAACTGATACGTCGTAGCTTACCGATGCAGTATTGGTTACATTCATATCTATGAAGATTGCATCAGCTATATCCTCGTGTATAGGACCTGTAAAAATGGAACATGAAACAAGTGGCTTAAGAATAATTGACTTGACTGTTCTCTTATAAAGACAGGTCATGTATATTTTCAAACAATTAATTTAACGATTAATTTATTAAGTCCATCATAATATTAATAATAAGCTACAGCAAACACTTACTGCTAAGTTCTTTAATTGGTTTACTCCATTTCTTGTTTTCAATTCCATATTGAAACTTGTCGTCGGCACAATCATGTTGAAATTCTAGCATTACATTCCGTTTGCCCTCACTAAAATAAAATTCCGTACAACACTGAATTCCTGAGCAGTCTGGGGACCAAGCACAAATGTTCTGAAGCTCGCCTGGTAAAGGACTACATGCTGAAAGAAAATAGTATAATGTTATTTACTTACAGTACCTAAAATAACATTAGTACAGGTTTTAAAACAATCTATAATGAATTGTTCTATATAACTGTTCTATATTAATCAACTGTATAACTGTTTAAATAACTGTATATGTTAATATATGCCAATATCTCCAAAAGACTTGGACAAGAGGTCATATGAAAATGGTTCTTGTTCATTTATTGATATGATTATTTTATTTTTTTAAATATCTCACTTCGTAACTGTCCTTTTAACTTGACATAAACTATAAATATCTGGTTTAAAGGTTTAAAAGATACGCATATAAGCTAAAAATAAGTTATAATAATAATTAACATGAGCATGCGTACTACTTGTAGATGCGGTTAAGTTTTCAGCTGTGCATATCGGCTGTTTCCAGAAGTCATGCGTTATTCCTGTAAATTAAATTTCATTTGACATAAAGTAGAAATAACATTGTGTACTTTTGTCACATTGAAAAAGGCATTTAATACAGTTTTGTTCTTTGCAAATATAAGCAACAAAATTGTTCATCTGACAGCAATCAAAACGCATAATATCGTGCTGATTCTGGCCGTTGCTTGCATGACGTCATTTCGCTTGTCAATATATTAATGACATCATACTTGAGTTGGTGTCAAACTGGAACGTTTAAGATATAAGTAAATGTTGATATGATAGTTACAGTTATGCACAGTATCTTTACAAACCCCGCTCATTACAAACCCCGCTCAAATGGGGTCATTTTTTAACAGTGACAAAAACGATTCATGAAACTCTAAATAAAAGACAAATCTGTAAATTATTGTATAATTCTTCTGTAAATTATTGTATAATTCTTCATACTTAACATCACGTATAATTTAGGAAACTTAAGGTTATACCGTAATATGGTTGACGTGTATCATTTTTGGTGACGTTTTCGCACGTGGGATAAGGTATACGGGTATCTTTAGCAACGATGAACGGTGACTGTTTACATGTTGTCTCATAACATTGCTGAAGCGATATATCCAGATCAAACTCGTGCTGTGACTGCACGTTTGTAACCATATACCTGTAATTAAATTGCAACCAATGATTAACATTTAATTAGGAAGAGAATTAGTGAGCAAAATATATTTTCAGACTTGGTTAACAAATTAAGATAATTTTCAAATTCAAATTCAAATCTATAACAACATTTAAACGGAATACAATATCTTGAAAGCTTCAAAATAAATCAAGCACATATCATTTAAAAAATCAAATGTATTGATTTAAAACTTTTTATCAACATTTGCAGTCGATCCCTCTTTCAAGAAAATAGCGTTTATGAAATTTCTTTTCCAAAACCAAATTCATATGGAAATAAAATTTTGATTTCTAACGAGTAAATATGATACTTACTCTGTGCGCCAGATACCTTTAGTTGACAATGAATGCATTGTTCCTGAAAAAAAGAAAATATATTCAAAATAACATTTTCAGTATTTCACTTGAATGTCTATTGTTTGTAAGCTGTTAAATGAAGTTGATAAAAGAAATCAGTCTATAATTCAACACATTTCATAACAGGTGTTAAGATATACAATTGGCGAAATGAATAGTTGATACAGATATTTAAACTTGTTTCATATACTCACAACATATCCGGAGAGTGCTTTAACAAAATCTGCCTCTGTTATATAACGTACTTACTTATACATGTATGTAACTATACATGTTTGTAAGGAAACAGAGTAAAACAATTTAAGATCAATATACTATGATTAAGTAAGTTTGATTGATTATACACATGAGCCGCCATCTGCCAAATCGGAAAATCACAAGCGTACTTTCAATTTTGGTACATTGCTATGATTCTGTTGAATATACGAACAGATAGTGACTACAGGCATATATTTTATTAACTTTACATCTTTATCAATGGCAATTTTTTTTCAGGACTAGATACAACTCTCATTATTCCTTTGGATGAAATAGAAAATTATCCAAATTTCATACCCCATTCATAACCAAGCAAAGCGTATTTTTGTTGAATATTTTCCAGGTTCATCTCCATTCTATAATTGCATGGGTCTAGGGTAAAGTTCATCCACAGATTTCTTCCAAGGACTTTTGACTCAATACAACAATCGAAGCTCTCTCTATCTTTTGTAGCTATACATGAAGCGTTCGGCTCATAGTGAACGACCTCAAAGCCATCTGAAAAAGGAGTACAATATTCACTAAATTGAAGAGCTATATTAAAGTAAATTCGTCTGTAACGGAAGGTCTGTAATACAAAGAATAATTACATTGATAGTATTTAGTTTAAGACATAACAACAAACGACGAAAAATTTATTCAAAGAAATCGTTGGTGTGAGATGCATGATATTTAATATGATGTTTTGGCACGTGACTATGTTGAATAAATTATCTTCTATATTTTTATAGGGCCTTGTGTTACTTCTACACGTTTTAATGTTGATTTTGTGGACTTTATGTGTTTAAATGTTGAATTCTGCTAAAGCCGGTGCTAGGGGGCGTGGACGGTAGTTTGCACTTTACAGTACCGTCCATGAACAGGCTCAAACAAACCGAGCCTGCAACATTATCAATTTTGTCGTTTTGAGCTTTCTTAAGGGATTCTTATTTTCTCTATTTTATGTCTTGAATTAACTGGTCAACATAAATTGATTTTCACATTCAACGCTACCATCTGGAGGCGGGCAGCTTTTGAATTAATTATAGTTCAAAATATGAAGAGTAAAATACCTCCTGTCACATTAGCTTTTATTATACACGGTTCCTTCAGAAGAAAATGATTCAAGCCCATTTGTTGCATCAGTTCATCTTTTTGTTTGTCTGTCAGTACAGCATCTGGTGGCATTGAATTGTTAGATTTCCAGCTATCTAATGAGAAGCCTGTAAAATCGTGCCAAAATAATTAGGCATTTCTATGTGGAAATTGAGGTAAAAAGCAATAATAAATGTAAATTTGATTTATTCAAGACTTTCAAATACAGTGTAGAGTTATTTTCAGTGTCAGTACCTTTAGAAAAGTTCTTTTTACACGTTAAAGCAATACGAATCGTTCCAGGGGCGTCAATGTTAAAGTGCTTAAGGTATTTCATTTCAAATCACTTGCCCCTCAACGCTGTTGGTTTGAATCCCGTCAGGGACTTTGGATTTTTTTTCATATGTAAAAGCTATCCAGCTAGCTTACGAAAACGTCGATGGTTCAACTAAAGTGCCCGTTCGTGCCTGAAATAATAATGCATGGAAAGGCACTTGGGGTCGTCCTACACGAACCTCACTTTGATGATACAACTTAAAACCCGGTCAAAAAGTTCATCGAGCGTTTTCGAGATCAATATTCAGTATACTACGTATAACAACAAAACTTAAGGTATGGTACATAATAACCTTGTCAGCTTCGACAGTCAAGAAAACAAGTTTTTCTTGAACAAATAGAAATAACATATTTATAAGGGATTGGGATCTTAAAACACGCCGGTATTCCCACAGGCGTATGATTGGGTTACATAATGACACGGGAAGATAATTCGAAAACGTGGTCGGTGAATCCCATTTTCTTCGCTTTAAATATTTCTGATATAACATTCTAAGAGCATTCAACGTTTACATAGATTGTATTATACAGCTTTCATTCTGTAAAATATCTATATGTAACTCTAGTATACGCCTTTTAAATAAATATAATGGAACTTTCCGAGAAAAACTTTACACACCCGACTGAAAAACATTTCTCACAAATGCGGGCATCAACCTTAAACTGGATTAAACTTTAAATAGACGTTTGTCACTGTTTAAAACATTTCAGGTCAATTACAATTACCAATTTTATATTAGTAGGTGTCTTTTGATTGTTGAATTACCTGGAATTTGAAAGGTTGGTTTAAATTCACACTTTCGTTTCACAACGTGGTTTCGAAGTATTTCAATGTCACGGTTACATTCAAATGCACTTTCCATGCACACTTTGAATCGTAAGTTTATCGTGTACTCATTTTCCGTGCTGTCGTCAATCATAAACCTGTAGTATTAAATAAAACTATGCTAGTATACAACGGCAATTTCGGATAAAAACGTGCATATATTTGTTTCGCAAACAGTTTTTCCCTTTTCATTTAATAATTTAATTATTGACTAATTCAAATTAAGTGTATGGAATTCAAACTGCAAGCACTGCAAAAACGTTGAAAAGATTTAAATTCACATGTTTAATTATTGGCTCAAATGACAAATATTTGTTAAACAAACTAGTAAAGCATATTGGGTTTAAATAAAAATGGATTACTTACTCTACGCGTAGGAAACCATTCAGGCTCATCGTTAAGTAATGACCTGTAATCAAAGATATGACATTTCATATTATATAGAAATTACTATATGTATATAACTCATTCCCGTAAACAAAGATAAAAAACTTACTATAGAGACCCGTAATCGAACATCGTTCTAAGAACGCAGACATTTGTAAAATAAATCGTAGAAACGCCCAAAACTTAGTCAAGATCGCCCGGAACGGAATATATCGCAGTTTTGCCACAAATGCAACAAGAGCTTCGCAAATGTAATCAATGCATATATAAATCTTAATTAATTAGGGCTTAACATGATATTTTCCCAAAATTTACAAAAAAAAAATTAAAAAAAAAAATGTTTTTAAGTTTCGAAAAAACCCCTTTTTGGGGAGTTAAATTCCCCATGCCGCACCTTAGGGGATTTCGTGATAGGGGGTTTTCCTTTTTCCAACGGGTTAACTTAAAGCTCAAAAAGGGTAAAAACAGAAACTGGTCCCTAAAAAGGGTATGTTAAATTTTCCCCGTCGACATGGAAGCAACAATTCAAATCTGAGCAAGATGTTTGTAAATTGCACGATATTCTCGTGTCCGCGTCAGTTATGTTGAGTAAAGTTACGTTATCAGCACAATCTGAAATACAAATTATTTTAAGTGTTAAAAAACAGAAACTCTTCCAATGTATTTGTTTCCATTATATAAGCAACGAAATAAACATCTGGTAAATTTGTACTCAATGTTCCGATAATAATAGTACGCTTAAATAGCACACTATACACTGTAAATGGATTTTCGTTTTAAAGATATGCTTTATGCTTAATAGGTTAAATATTCTTACTGTTACAGCAGACATTTATTGAAATTTCGGAAATTCATACCAAATATGTCTTTTTTAAATTTGAAAATGCACAAGGATACTGCATTCCCTTCAACTAGTAAATTTTATTCTTAAAAGAAACTGCTTTTTTCTTTCAATATTATTGTGCAATAATACTGCGTTTTCATAGAAGAATTTAAAACATAACATATTTTCCCTATGTGCACTCAAAAGAGAAAAAAGAATCATATAAAAAGAAGTTCCGAATTTAAAGATATACGAATATCATTATACCTAAAAACACATATGTGTTAATTAAAAAAATAAAAAATGCCACAAAACAACATTTTTTCACCAAAATTAGGTGTAAGGCCACGTGTTAACATGGAAAATCTAGATTTTGGGTAATTCCAAGGTTTTTCTATATTTTTTGTTAAGGAAATGAAAGAAAAAATGATAATATAGTCTAAATATATCCTATTTTGAAGGATGAATACCTGAATTCCAACCATATGAATCATTGTAAGGCATCACAACGCACTCACTGTCCTTCAAATACTGACTTATTCCAAGGTCGCGATGAAGAACCTTTCTTGCATATGCCGGTAGTTTAGTGGCGTTCATGTTCCTATGTGATGCCCATTCCGTCAATGAAAATTCTGTACCGAGTCAAACATGCAAAATTAATGATTTGGTATAGGAGACTCTACTGTAGAATCGGTCTTACCTAGCTTTTAAAATCAGAACTAATGTTTATCAATCGATGATATCCGGAGAAAAATAAATTCAAATCCATTTCGGAATAATTACATAATTAATGATCATTAGAAGTTTGCAAAATAGAAATGATGTAGGGAATTTGCGGCAAATGAAAATTCAAAAATAAGAAATAATTGTCGGGTTTATGAGGTATATTATTATTCCGTTCTGGACGGAAGGAAATGTAGATAATGAAGATAATTATATTTAAATAATATGTATGTAATCGAAGTTTACTTACCGTCATTCCTATAGTTTTTATTGATAGGGCAATCTTCGGATGAAAATTTCTGTTCTTTGAGAACCTCGACAACTTCCGTACATGGTTCATTGGATTCAAAACATTGACTGATATTGAGAGAAATAAAGTGTGACTGACTCATCACCAGGTAGTCAACCATAAATCTGTAAAAGAAAATGCATACTTATGTCCTGTAATATTTATAACCTACAACAAATGGCATGCGCAAATCATTACATAAATGCGGACATTAGCCTCCCGTTTAAAATACCGGAACGCACACAGCTGAGCTTTTTATTACTAAAATATTGTCAATAAGGACGTTTCGAACTGAAATATTCTTTTCTTAATGAATGCAATTAATGACCATATTAAACCGGATATATGTCATTTGCATATATCTGGCTGGGCTGTATGTTCACAATGATTATGTCTTCACAGACGCGTTTTTCCCTGTTTTATTTTATAATTATCAGTATTGTTCAATATCAATATTATAATTGTTATTATTTCATCATTTTCATTTGTTGTCATCATCATCATCATCATCATTATTATTATTATTATTATTATTATTATTATTATTATTATTATTATTATTATTATTCGTTGTGTAATATATAATTGGCATCAAACTAAAGATAAAAAATTATTAATTAAGTATACTATAAAAATTATTAAAGCACTTTCCTTCAATAAAATAAAGTTGTTTTTTTTTCAGACCACGCCACTGCGTTAATTTACCAATATTTTTTTAACATATTTGAACGCTAATTCTTTAGAAACTGTAATCGCCTGAGGGGAGTAAAATCATGCCAGTGTGACACGCAATTATGACAAATAGATATACGAGATAAGGCGAGGTAACGCGCAGTATGATTTGATTATGCAATATGATGTAATGTTTTATGATAGTCTCGAACTGTAGTCCGCGGAAGAAAAATCAACAACGAAAGAAACCAACGATTATGACTGCAGATATAGATATCACTGATTTTTTTCTCACAATCAGACAATATGTTGGGTCTTGTTTGTTGTTGTTGTGGTTTGTTTTCTTCATCTTTTCATAAATCGAGAAGTTAATTTGACCATGGATTTATATTACAATTATTGACCCTACTGGCGTTATGACTGTATCTAAAAATTAAACGTGGAAGGACCGGCGTGTTGTTGCTTGGAGCTTTCAAACCCTAAAATACGTTTAGAGAATGTATATTTTAGTATGATTTATAATTCATAAGTTTAAAATTCAAGTACATAATTTGGAAGAGAGGAATTAAGAGAATGACAGTTTTCTTTTTTCATGACTTTCCTCTTAAAAAAAGATATATCATTTTGTAACCTTATATGAATGCCTTGGCGAATTGTTTCAATATTTTAAGATAATATTATGAAATTGACATATTTTTGTTTGTATTAAAAATAACAAAATTAATTACATGGCAGAAAATCAAGCAGATTATTTATATATAACTTTTTTAGCACTAGCTAAAATATCACTTCTTTTCTAATAGCTTCTATTAAGCGAGCTTTTTATAGAGGCGTGGTCGTATTTTTGTTTAAGGTGTGAAAGGACTTAGCTCGATTATCTGTCATGAAGCGGTCGATACATGTCTGGTTCGAAAATGATAAGCATTGAAATATAGCATTTAAAATATTTTCTTATTATCACACAAAGTAATACATTTTAGCACTTACTTCATCTTTAACGCTGAATATAATGAAATCGTCATTTCTTTCCCTACAATTGAAATATGACATTAAATATAAGTAGTTTATGTAAATGTTTTAAATGCATAAATAATAGTGTACTAAGCTACATTGTAGCTATTACTTTTTACATTTCATAAGATACGTAAATATTGGAAATGTTTATATTATTCGCAGCAAGAAAAAACGTAATTGAGTATCTAACTCCGTAGAAAATATAAAAGTATTAAAAAAACAAGTGTCTATATTTAAATTAAGTTTTTACTTAACCTGAGACGAACCATTTTTAACAACTTCGTACCGTATTTAAAATCATAGAGTGACAATGTTCTGCTGAATGTCTCAATTGTGATATTTATCACATGATTGCATCTGTCAAAATCCAGCTCGTAGAAAATTCGCCGTTGTAAAATGTCGGACTGTATGCAGCACGATATTCTCGAACACGTGTCAGATAAACTGCATTCTGGCGGGAAACTGGGGACAACGCCACATGCTGAGAATATATTCAAAAAAGATATTTGAATGATCTATGATATGTCGATGAAATTCTGCTTCATGACATGAAAATGAGAAATATTTACTTCAGTTCACATTATGTTATATTATGTTATATGTTATATTATGTTATATGTTATATTATGTTATATGTTATGTTGTGTTGTGTTGTGTTGTGTAGGGTGCGGTGCGGTACAGTACGGTACAGTACGGTATGGTATGTTAATATGTTACGTTACGTTACGTTTCGTTATGTTATGTTAAAATGATTCGCAATTTAATGTAAGCTGAGATGATATATACATTTTGCATTTGAACTTGACGTCAAATAATCTATATCAAATCGTACAGACAATGTTTTGAGAGTTCTTGTATAATTCATCCCAAAATGTTTGTGTGAATAACGCATTCGACTAGCTTACATGATAAAAAGGATGATGATGATGAAGATGATGATGATGATGATGATGATGATACCTATGATGATGATGATGATAACTATGATGATGATAGTGATGATAAAAATAACAATCATAACATGTACGACTGCTCATTCAGCAAATATTATGATAAAATGGGTAGCATACGTTTTCCTTTTCATCGAACGTTTACATTCACAATTTGATATTTTCATTTTATGTTGTTTCTTTCGTTGCTTCCAAGAGATCAGCGCTTTTCCAGACTTTTTTTAATATGTAATAATACCTTGAGATATATTGCTGTTTATCACTGCACACTCCGTTTCCATCATGTATGGATAAACACCCAAATCTGTCATCAGTTCTATCTCTTCCACGTGATCAAGGGTGCCAAATATAGATATATTCCTATCTTCCTTCCACTGGGTCAATGAAAAGTCTGAAATTAAGTTAATAGGCATATGATAACCTCTCCCCGACACAGTACAACAAATGTTACCTAAAAACAATACCGTCACCATAATAATTTAACTAAGACTTTTGGTGTCTGACTCGGTTTGGTAATGAAAGAACTCATAATTCTTTAATGCACACTGCGAAAAAGACATGGATATACGGAAGTGTACGGAATTCCGTATATCATTGATATACGTGTAAGAATACGGGAAACTTGAAATACGGAGATGTACGGGACCGTATACTATATCAGTCCGTATATGACTAGTATACGAACTCCGTACACACGTAATATACGGGAATTTTGATGTACGAAGTCCGTATTTTACTAATATACGGAATTTTTATGACAAGTCCGTATATTACTAAAATACGAAATTCCGTATTCGTGCAAATACGGATTCTGTATATAGAAATAGCGAATGATACCGTCAGTGCACAGAACGTGTAAGACATCCACCTGTAGCATGCAGACGCGGTATTCTAGCTCAATCCCGCTGTGCAATAGCGAATACTTTACAATTGCGATTGACGATTAGATAGTACGTTTTTGTATTTTGCATCTATGGTGAATCATGTTATTTTGTAATTTCTTTTTCATTATCATTATTATATTTTATGATGATGATGAGCCAAACATGAGAAAATGATAAATTTGAAATTGTGATGTTCAAAACATGAATTAATTATATTAAAATCGTGAATCTGTGAAGTTGAAATCGTGAAAGTTAAAATAATTGTGAAATCACGAAGATAAATTCGGGATTGTCCACACAGCATTTAAATTTTACGTTAAAATATCTCCTACAAAAAATAGGCTATACATAATATAATACATGTACTTGCATATGTAAATAAAAATCAACAATGATATCTCATTCATTCATTCATTCATTCATTCATTCATTCATTCATTCATTCATTCATTTATTCATTCATTCATCATTCATTCATTCATCCATCATTCATTCATTCATTCACTCACTGAATCAATCAACCAATCATTCATTCATCTATTTATTCATTCATTCATTCATTCATTCATTTATTTATTCATTCATTCATTAATTCATTAATTTATCATTCATTCATTCACTGAATCAATAAACCAATCATTCATTCATTTATTCATACATTCATTCATCACTCAATTATTCTTATATTTATTTATTTATTTATTTATCTATTTATTTATTTACTTAATCTTTTATTTCAGGAAACATAAAGATTTGCGTTTTTGTACACAAGTTTTGCATAAAAATCTTATGAAGTTCCGAATTCCTCAATTTTGATTCTATCCGCGCGGTCTCATTTATGACATAATATTGTGTAATAGCCACGTGCTGTATTGCGATAATCGAAGCCAATACTGATTAAGCCGGATATTGATCCGGATATTGATCATAAACGCAGCAGGGTATAACGAGTGTCGCTTTTCTCTGATTACGTAAGTTAGCGCAATTGGTGTTGAATGTCTTAACGGTAATTTTTACTGTTTATTTCTAATATAATTCATGTACGAAATAAAGGAATTAAATTGTGATCTCATAATCGAGTCTCTATGTGATTTTGTTCCAGATATTATAAAGACTCGAACCTGACATGTTACAATCAAACAGACATAGCTGCTGTATTCTTTCAAATGTTTTTGCAGCGTCGTGTTGTTGTTATCCTTTTATCTGGCGGAATTCGTCATTTAAACAAGACACAATTAAGATTTATCTTAAAGTAAATTTTGAAGTACCCTGCTGCCAGGTCCAATTATATTTAAGTTAACAAGCTAGAATCAGATGGATGTCACTGGGGAGTATGTACATGCATTGTTGATAGATGATGTCAAATTATTCGAAATAGCATTTCTTGAAAAATATCATCATCATCTCCCGAGTTTTCTCGTCTCCCATCAGCCGTGTTTCTGCATAAACGGTGACTTGAACAGGACAGGGGAACATGGCCGTGCTATGTCACGGATTTATATTACATATTGTAATATAAATCCGTGGCTATGTAAATTAACATTTGTATCCTGGTTAAAATAAAATTATGTATCTTCGAAACAGTTTTTGTATGAGTAAATTTCTGTTTAAAAAATAAAAATTATCGTAGTTTGTTTTAAAAAATCATGTAAGTAAGTAAGTAATTTATTTGTTTTAATGACAAGTGTAAACTTATTTTACAAATCTAATTTTACAACATATCAAATATACCCGGCCCAATGGGCCTATAAATCACCTCCAATAAACATAAAATATTTACATAAAGTCATAAGTGATTATAATTTATAAACAAACTCATTTGTAAAAATCGTAGATATAACGTAATAGAAGTATTTATATAATCATCGTGTAATAAATAGTTCATAAGATATGTGATTTATCCTATAACTGTATCTATAAATGCTTTGTCGTATTTCATAGTGTGAGAGAAATGTGCAGTCTGGCCGAAACTTGAACCGGGGACTCCGATTGAGCTATTCGGCCGCTTACAAATCTTTTCCTGAACAGTGGCATAATCCCCTGCTTTATTAAAATTCACAGATTTACAAGCAATATGCGAACTAAAACTCTTAAGCTATATGCAGCCATGGTGCTATCCGACCATTTTCTCCTCTAAATAGTGAACAATTCTGAACCGTGACACATATGTCAATATTGTTCATGTACTAAAGTCAATAATAATTACAATTTTCAATGAGTATTTCATGTAATGTATATATGTATTCACAGTTTTTATTTTTATACAAATCCCCATTATTTGATGCAAATATAAGTCACTTTAAAGACTCCGCTCTTTTCATTTTTATTCACTTTTTTTTTTAATTTCTGTACACATGTTTCTATATATTTCTTATTTATATTAACTATATATAAGTTAATACAAATCTGAAACAAAAATAGCAAACAAATATTTCTTTTTTCATTTATATCATCATACATTTAGATGAATAAAAAAAGAAAATATTTGTCAGAATTTTTTATTTACATTAATACAAAGAATGACAGATAAATACCCTTGATGTCAAAAGATATGCTTATATTTACATTGATACGAAGCTTAGTGTCGGTGTAAGAATTTTAAAACTCGTGCATATAGACAGACAGACAGACAGACATTTTATTTCAGTCAAAAAGGCTTATAAGCCCATGATGACATATTACAGCATATTTACAAGATAACGAACAGTGCATATGTTAAAAGAAAAACATTATCACAATATAATTATGACTTTGCAGGAGAAGGTCATAATAACAACTTATTCGTTTGAACGTAGAACAATGCAAATATTAATTTATGTTTGTCTTACACTCACGTACTTCTTATCTGTTAAAATGATTGCATGAATTAAATGTTCTGTTCTAGAAATGTTTAACTACCCAAAAATAATATAATTTACCATGATATTAATCTATGAAGAAGTGTCACAACAAACATAATTAATGTTCACTACATTACATAAATCATTAAACTAAATTAGTTTATCTACATATCTTACCTCACTATTGAGCAAAGATACATAGATTATATTATATATAGATTCCTATTATGCTAATAATCCCATATTTAATCAGTCTTACCGAAACGAAACTGTAAGACCGATAGTATGGCATGCAAATATACATAATTATATAACATATGTTAGACATGTGTTTGAGATAAATACTTATGCGAATATCAATACATTTCTTATTAAGATGCTTATTACAATACAATATATATTACATATCTATTTTACTTATGACTATACACCTAAAATATCAATATCTATTTAATGATATAAAATACAGCAACGAACCAGAAGTTTTAAAACGGTTTTGTTTGTATTGTTTTAGCATAATAAGTAATTAGCAAGATCGAGTTTACTCGCAATTCAGGACAGACAACTCTTTTTTCATTCGATATTCTTGGTTATTTATCTACGTTGTTCAGGATAGCACAGATTTTAAATTGTATATACATGAACTGAGTTTTCAACATTGATATTGGATTTTTTATTGCACAAATAATTAAAATTTAAATATTTGTTTCTTATTATAATTAAAACATTTTGTTTAGTTTTTTTTAGATAAACATTACGCATAAGGTGATATCGCATGGGTCAGTCACAAACACGCGCCTGTTTGAGGAAACAGTTATTAAATATTTCGTTATACATAAATTAACTGTATAGAGCCTTTGTACATCACAATTGTTTTCGACATTCCACATTTTGACTTATATTTCACATAAAGCGATATGGTAACACACGCACGCACGCACGAACACACAAACATACACAACTACACATGCACATACAAGTGAACACGTTCCTACAGTATTAACACTCGCATATGTGATCACTTATGAAATATTTTCAATGTGCTCTTTATCAGTTTATGATGAAGTTATATTATGATTTTTTCAGGACAGTGTACAGCGTGTTTAAATCTTCCAGAAATGCAGCTGTGCCCTCTTAACAGCAATTATAGATGAAGCAAAGTATGGTAGCAAGTAATATAGATGTAAGTTAACGTATATACATTGTTGTATTTTGTGAATAAAATAAGACAATTACACGGACGTACTGTCTGTAAAGAATAGTTACACAGACTCATATATTCCCATCCGTACTGACATCATATGTTTTAATCTTTCTCAAGGAAAAGTCAAATTTCCTTAATTACACGCATTTATTTTGACATGAATAAATGTGGTTAGTTATAAATACATTGGTTCTCTTTTATATCTTGTTGGCGGAATGATGATATAAAATGATGTCAATTAAGGCATATAAGCATTTTGCAGCGCATTTGAAAATGCTAAAACATCCTTGCTTGTAATATGCAAAAATCAAATATATAAAATATATATAACTCCAACACACACAATTGTTTGATATCGATGCGCTGTGCATGCGACTTTATTTTATTAAATTAGTTTTCTTTTCTTTAACATATTGCTGTATCAAAAAATATGTATTTCTTCACAGTTTAATCACTTTTATATATGTTAATGATAGTATTTTTTTAGTTACTACGTGCGTAAGCGATAATGTGCGAGTGACTTTACATTTTCTTTTGTGCATGTACACTAAAGTTAACAACCTTTGTCTGACTAGGTAAAACAGGGTTTTCAGAAGCGAATATAATGTCAGATAAGAAACAGAATTTGAAATGTCTTGATGGCAAAGTTAGTAAAGTCATTCGAATGTCATACACATTAAATTTTATCACGAGTTCGAGCCTCACAAGTTGTCTCACTTTTTTTTGCGTTTTTCTTACCATATTTTTTTTTTAAATTTTACATTAGAAAAATGAATTGGAATAGAAAGGTAGTTTTGTTATGATATTTAATAATTTAGATATACATGCACGGATGATAGTGATTTTTATCCTGTATAGTGTGTAGTATGTAGAAGTCATAGTACTTTTGCAGTGCAGGAGTATTTCGTGCAAACTTAACTATAGTTGAAACAGTCTGTGTACAGTATCATGCATTCCGTATAAATTTGCACCAACTTGCTAAATAGGGCTAAATATAGCTACATTTAAAACAAAATGAGAAGTTAATAGAAAATAGCACAGCATTTATAATCTTTGCAATAAATGATACAAAACTTTCTTACTTGATTGATAATTATAAAGCAATACTTTTGGGAAAAAGGTGCAATCCGAGCCTAGCTGTATTGCATTGATATTTACCACAACCTTACCTACTGCATTACGCTGAGAGTTGGTAAATTTGTTGATAATTTAATTTATATAGCTAGCCTGTTTGAAGATAATAAACACAATATGATAGCTGTTTTACACCTGGATGGTGGACTTGACCACCTCGTCAATTAATTATTATACTAAACGCACAGTACTTGTGCGCACGTGAAACATATCATGATATGGCGTTGATACGTAAATGTTTCACGTGCGCACGTAATACTGTCGCATTCGCATGTATTAACTAAAATATTTCCTATGTTATTTTATGCAATTGTCACATATGATACGTATATTTTATTTTCTGAATTTGATTTCAAACAATCAGATTAATGCTATAGGCAAGGGTAGGATATTTTGATTTATAATTTTTGTGAGAATTATCACTTTATTTTTAGTGATGGCACACTGTAAGAGATTCTATAGTCAACTTACCTAGTTAAACAGTCTTAACAATAAAAAAAATATTAATCTACACTATTGTATATTGAAGGTATTCATTCGTTGCTGTGAAGTTGTGATGAGATAGTTTTTGAAACAATTGAAACTAAAACAAACAATAATCCAAATTTGTTAAGATATATGTTTTTATATAAATGAGAAGTATAGCTGGGTATTCCGCCTTTTACTTAACTGGATATTATTGTGCAAACACGGATCTACATCTGAGTAGTAAATATCTGTACATTTTAAACCATTTTTTTCAAACGAATTGACTCCTACTAACGATACTAATATACATCGTAAAACGATCAAAAAGATTATGTCAGCACTTTTTCCCAATGCAATGTTATTTTGTTTACATATATTTTTAATCAATAAAATACTCTTTACATAGAACAAAGATACCATTATAATTTATATTACAAGTGTGAAATAATATATTCGTAAAAGTTTCATAACAAAAACATATAACTTATCATCCGTCAAAGATTAATCATTTAATTTAAATCCTGTGTAAATGGTTGCTTATAAATGACATCTTTATCCTAATGATATAAGATAATTTTGAAATTTGCGTAAGAAAAAAAATGTATATACGTATGTATACGCTTGAAAAAATGCTTGTGTATAGACTTTTTGAAAGTTGTGATAACTATTTCATGACACTATTTAAACAGGATTTTAAACTCTCTTTTTTCAGATACACACATGCCGAAGAAGATTGTAATATCTGGAGAAAACATTTCCTACGTCACGAAATAGACACCGTCACACTGGCCTATAGATGATTGATATATTTAAGTGCTTTTAAGAACAGTGTTTGAATGTCGAATTTCTGAAAATACGGATTTTTAATTTTAATGCTTATTATTAAAACTCTCTGTAATTATCAATTTGTGCCATGGACTCATTTTCCTAACATAACATGTGAATGTTAACACGAGCAAATGATATGAATATCTTTAAAATATTTTATGGGTGTAATATAAGTGGCTCACATGAATCATTGTTAAGATAAATCGAAAAGAACTTCAATTTAGCATAGTTTGTTCTAGATTTAAACAACATGCAATTCATAAAGGTTACGGCTTGAAAATATCGAAAAATGTACATGTATAATTCGATCTCTGAAGAAAATATCGCGGTGCGGATGTTCTGCACCGTGATACGTATTTCATGACTCTGTATTGCAACATACCGGTATATCGCCGTTCCGTTGCAACGCTACATTAATGTGTCCCTCTGGAATAAGTATGACTATTGTAGCGAAGACATGTTTATTTTGTTATATATATGTATACATATTGAATATATGTTTATGAAATAATAAATATTTAATAGTGACTCGATTTGGTTTTTACTTTATTATTTGAAATACTCCAATTGTGAAGATAAAGTTCTTAAGCATATGACTTTAAAGTTCCAATTCACAATGTGTAATCAAACATGTTCTATTGTACAAGCCTGCATTTCGGTCATGTATACGTGTTACTTATATGTAAATGCATGCTTTTGATAGTATCTGTACCTTCTTTTATCTCGATAATACAGTTCTGTATACCCTGTGTACAACTAAAAAATGCAATTCCGTATATCCCCTGTATATATTGAAAATACGATTCCGTATATCCCCTGTATATGTAGAAAATACGATTCGTATATCTTCTGTATAAGTAGAAAATACGATTCCGTATATCATCTGTATATGTGGAAAATACGATTCCGTATATCATCTGTATATGTGGAAAATACGAGTCCGTATATCATCTGTATATGTAGAATATACGGTTCCGTATATCCTATGTATACGTAGAAAATACGAGTCCGTATATCCTCTGTATATGTAGAAAATACGGTCTCGTATATCCTTGGTATATTTATAGTATACTAGGGATAACAACCTTGATAAAGTCCGTATACGGGATTTATTCTCCGTATACTTCAAACATACGAACAAATATACGTACATGTATATGGTGCAAATACGGAATTCCGTATATGCCTGATGCATATACGGACTTCCCGTATACCCGGTGTTCCCTATACGGACTCGTATACTTGGTCCGTATATTCGACAAATACATCCCGTACACGCCCGTATATGTCAAAAATACGGGACCGTATATTCCCGTATATCAGTATATTTTTCGCAGTGGCAGTGCCATTTACAGGTGGTTTTCTGTACAAATTGTAATGAACAGTTAAAAACATGTAATTAAATTAATAATGTAAATAGATTTACTCCCGAATTTACAATATAGTTTCCTAACCATTTCAAGGGTATAAACTTTTACTGTAACAACTTCGAAACTCGTTGACTAATATATTGTGAACGGTTGTATTGTTCAACTTTAACATTATACGTGTGTTTGCTTGAAAAAGACAGCGTTTACGAGTCCAAGACTTTATACATTTTATTCGCTTGATATGCCTCTCGACTCAAACATTTTACTCTTACACAATAGGCTATTAGACTACATCTACCGATCTTGATGGGGGAGTCTGCAGAATTATACAGTAATCTCAGGCTACCGATTAAACCTGTCAGTGGTCAAATAATAAATGTCTATCTACGAAATTAGCAACTGTCCCTAATAGAACTCGAACCCTTAACCTTTCAATTCCCAAGCGCACGTACTACCACTGGATCAACGCTCCTTTCCTCCTCCTAAAGCATTTTGAAATCGGGAATAACAATTTCCGTTTACAAAAGTCGGTTCAAATTAGAAACGTTTTTATTTTTCGATCGTACCTTTATCTGTATATCCTGGGTTCATTTTACATATGGACTGCGGCAGAATTTCATTTCGGAGAATATCAACCTCGTTCTGACAGTTTTCGTGGTCCAAACAAATACTTAAGTTGACACTAGCAACATATACCCGTTGTATTGGAAGGTCTTTGATCAAATAGCTGAAATAACAGCATTAGCATATTAATAATAATAATAATAATAATAATAATAATATTTGTGTAATCACGCGTATTACATATTAAAACCTGTACACTTGATTTCATTCGATTTACTCGCCAATACGTTAACGTGGTAATGTCATGTTATAATTATCTTTTGAATATGTATATATAATTTTAAGTGGCATGTCATAGAAACTTGACAGTAACTTAGAGCAAAAACTTGACAGTAACTTAGAGCAATGACTATTATTGCTTAGCATATTTATTCCCTGCGGTCTGGAGACCGCAGGGTATTGGTACGCGTTTAACTTTTGAGGCATGGAGGAGCACGTGACCTGTTTTCGGTACATGGAGGAGCATGTGATCTGTAAACCGTACATGATTGGTTAATTGACCTTTTCGAAAACCTGGCTAAATACCGTTTGCCGGTACGTTACGGATAATTCTCAAGGGAATCAGTCAGAATTACACCTAATTAAGAACAAAAAAACTATTACGTGATATTTTTAATTTTCTATAACTAGTTTACCCTTTAAGGTGGAAAAACTTGAATGATGTGTTTGAAAATTATCAATGTTTCTTTAATATGTATCTCAAAATGTTACAAACAATAAATTGTTTATACTGAAAATCTACAAAATTAAAATATTCGTAGTGGCATCTGCCATAATAAATAGAGATATTTTCTGCGAAGACTTGTGTGTTTACTTTATTTTATATTTTTTTGCTCGGAATTATTCATAAAATGGTAGGCCTATTTAATCATTTTCTTAAAAAGAAATAATTGTTTTATGTTCGACCTTCTTCGGTCATCAACGGTCACCAGTTTCCAAAGACCTTCTTCTATATTGATCGATTATTGTCAACTATATTCCTGATACCAACGTTTATTTATCCCCCCAAACAATGTTGAAAATAGTTAAATGAAATATCTTTATATCATTAATATGTTCCCCGCAGGAAACCATTTTACTTGTAATTTAATGTTTAATCATTTAATGTGTTAGTCATGCAATATGAATACATTTCAATCATATCAAAGGTAAATAACTTACTCAAGTCTAACAAAGCCATTCAAATAAAACTTGTTGTGTGCACCAAACTCAAACTTTGTCAAAGAGATATGTTTTAAAATGCGTTCAATTCCGATTATTAATGTTTGACTGCAGGGATCCAGTTTGAATGTTATATCAAATGATCGTTGTATCATGTTAACATAGGAACAACACTGAAATCTGGAGCACGTTTTGTCCATAAAACATCTTGTGTGATCAGGTAATGGTTGAAAGCTAGCATTACTTGGACACTCTATAAAATAAAAGGGTTATATTTATATATTACTTATGTAAACACGTTAGTAGCGTTCAATTGTAAAAATATTACAATTTCTTTATCTAAGACTGTTATATATTTATGAAACAGACTATACATTTCACGCCTAACCAACGCGCATGCGTACTTCTAATCACGTGATTTTTGTATTATTAGTATTTGAATAAATCTCGTAGTGTCAACACGTTTGCGTTTCTTATGGCTTTATTAACAGTAACAGTGCACCTAACCTTTAGAAATACACACATAGAACTAAAACAACAACAAAAACCACTACATATTGTTTATGTTGGATTAAAACAACGCCATTTTACAAAATTCAACTGTAATTGTATTTTTTTTACATGTATATGGATAAGGCGGAATTAAAGTTTTCAAAAGTATTCGAACTGGGATGTAAAATGTTTCAGCGCTCGTATAATCAGTCTGTATTTACACAATGGTTGGTCTACAATAAACTTTTACAAAAAAAAAAAAAAAAAAAAAAACCAACAAAAAAACCCAAAACATTAAGCTTTCTTGCGAAAACATTTGAATACCTGATGCCCAACCGACGGCAGACGTTGATATATATGGAAACGCCTTAGTGTCACATTGTGTAGTCTTCAAGTAGGGTTCGACGCCAATTTTTGACAAGTAAAATTCAACACCGGTTTCTGGGAGCTGCGTGCTGTCGTAATGTGATTTGTTTCGCCATTCCTCATATTTGAAACCTTTAACAAAGCATTTTACTTTTTAAGTAAATCTTAATATAATTATGATATTTTGTAATATGTACAGATGAATAATGCAATATAGGTGCTCTTTAACCAAGCGGTAAAGGTCGCTGGCTTAGAAATTCTTTCCCTTTCTTTAGTGATTTTCATAAACAATATACTGCACATACTTTTTTTAATGATAATGACAGAAAATTTCTTCATCAGCTTTTTGTTGTTCATGTACAACACAATATTTTTATTGCCATGTTGATAATTTATTACCGGTATTTTGTTCTCATTTCCATTATAACACGATAATTTGCAAAAATGCATACTGCTGTTAGTTAGATTATAACATACATCATTGGTTCGTTAAATTTCGGCTCATTTCGCCCTTTTTCGTGTCTTATACGAACCAGATAAGCGTTAATTTGACCATGAGCAACAATGGTTATCTTGCCATCTAAACACTTTCAATATAACTACTATATTTATATAGAAAGTGATTGAATTATTCATAGCCAAAAGTTTCATGATCCTTCGGAATACCTCGCCAATTATCAAAAATTATATCGCAAGGGAACACATTGGGATATAATCTCATAGACAAATGACAAACGTTTCATAGACAATATGTACGTCATATTTTTTGTATTAATATGTTTTTTGTTGTTGTTTTTTTTCAAAACAAAGATAAATAAAAGGAAACGTGTTTTTTTCTTTTTACCTTTACCGCAAACATTAAGACAAATGTTACAGAATATTGTTTGACTTTGTGTTATTTCAAAATGAACGCCTGTGAACGACAAATGACACTGAAAAGTTATTTTGACAGGTTTATTTTTTTAATATATTAATATCAGGCGCTACATATGACGCGGAAAGCAATATGAAACAGCTCTTTCCCGGCCCTAGCAACAAATAAGTAAATGCGCGCATTTAGCATGTTTAGTACCGTTCTATCTATATTAATGAATTGGCGGTGTTCAAACTATCAGCAGAATGCTCCGAGTGATCCCGAATATTTTGTCCGCCACTATAAATCTCTAGTCAGAGTTGTTGTTTGTACCTTATTTTTAACATGATGATTTATGAAAATGGATTTGCAAAAAAATTCCTTTAAGTTAATCATCGATAAGTAGTTTTAAGTACTTATCAACTATAATGATATTTTTTTCTGATTTTCTACTACATACTATACTGAAAGTGTTATCTATGATACAAAACTGAGGCTTCATCTAGAAACAGTCTGAATTGTGAAACAAGTTTTAATCGAATATTGTTTTTGAAGAGCGCTTTGTAATCTGAATATATCTCAAATATAGACCCTGTCCATCCATTTTTTTAAAGGCGGCGACAAAGAATTATATTTTTTATTGACTTTAATGAGATTTCAAATTAACGTGTATACGTCACACATGTAATCCAAGAGCGCTACAGCCCTCGACGGGGCTGCAGCCCTGCTCCGACTTTACGCATATCAGTCTGTGTTATTATTTGATATACGTTCCTTATTAATATACAGGCGTTGCTTGTAGCCCGGCAAGTCAGATTCCGGGCCCGCGGCTTTCGACTTATATGTATCAATGACATTTCCAATGTAAAAGATTTTAATCACTGAAGTTTTCATTAATGTAAATGAAAATATGAGAATAATTACTTTCGTCCAAAAATCCTGCTGACCAATCACAAGGCAAGGCAGTTAGATATTTCTCTCTAAGAACTTGAACCTCTGTACTGCAGGTTTCATTTTCGCCGAGACATATGCTCGCATTAAGGTTTACAGTGTATACCTGTGATTTAACTGGCTCCGATATTTCCAACCTGGAATATTTGATATTCGTTAATGAAATGTATCATTAATTTGAATTGTTTGTGAGACTACTTCCTTAAAATAAATAATACATTTACAGTAAACTAAATAATATTAAGTCAATTAGTCTATCGAGAATTTCATCGTTCCTGGTTAATTTATATTTGGGAAAGAATATTACTTTATTGTCCTGCGACGATTGTTGGCATAAATGGCCAGATCGTTACGGTAGCTGACTTCAAACCACTGGCCCCAACCACTGTTTATATGAATCCCTTGTTAAGAAACTATCCAGCTAGCTTACAATTGGTCAGAGTTTCTACCCAGGTGTCTGTTTACTCCCGAAATAATGCACGGAGGTGCACTTGGGTCTTTTTTTCCTTCAACGAAGCTGGAAAGCATTATCCTAATGGGGCGTTGTGACATAAATTACCACACCCTCCTCCCCAACCCAAAAATGATATGATGATTTAACACATTATAATAGTAAATATATTATAATTCTGCCATTTAATGTTTATAATATAATAAGATATATTTAACAGAACTGTAGAATTACTTACTCGATCTTAATTACGCCATACAAGCTAAATGTTTGCATTTCTCCTGTAATAGAAAATAACTCATTGCACAACGTTAACACATATTCGAAATGATCAATGTATATAAACGTCTATGTAATTTAACTTAAAGCTATACTATGCTCACACTTGGGAAACTATTTTAATCACAGGCACTTTGAAAAAACTATGAAATTCTCACTAATTTAAAATATATCTAATTTGGATAAAAAATGAGTAAACTATGTACGGGAAGCTGCGTTATAGGTCAAGTAAAGTTCGTCATTTCTGAAAAATAAAACTGCCACACTATATATTTATATTGTGACGACCTATAATGTCTAGAATTGTAGACATAATATACCTACTTGTGTGAAAAGTCAAAACATTTTATTTTATATTTACTTTGTAGTAATTATCATTATTTTCTGATATCGAATTTAAGCAGAGTATATCTTTAAACTCACATTAAAATGATTTTTTAAATGTTATCTAAACATATAGTCCTCTTGTCAGAATTGAAAAATAATAAAGTAACCGCGGAATACTACCAGAATGGAACAAAATGCAACTTCATTATAGCATGTTTTCTTAAACTTATTTATAAACAACACGTACCCCATGTAAAGTTTCTAAACGGAATAAGGTGTCTCAATTTTCCCAAGCCTACGGTTATTTCACCCCTACAGGCATCTATTTGAACCTCGATTTGAAAATTCACCGGTATTTCTGGAGATCTTAAACAGCAGAAAATACCAGAACAAAGTTCTGTCAGTGAGCATGTTGCTGGACCGTACACATGTAAATCATCAATATTTAAAGGGCAATGGGTGGAATCTGAAAAAAAAATCAATATTATTTCAGATGTCGTAAAATGGAAACAATCAATGCAAATAATTTATAAAGTAAACATGATACAAATATACATGATTGTATCTCTTAAAAATCCTTACAAAGCCGACTTATTGGAGAAATGAGAAATAGAAACATAGGGAACGAATACTGCATTCGAAAATCGAGGTCGTCATAATGGAATATATTCGATTTTCGGTGTAAAGATATTTAGGCATGTTATCCAAAATTCTTATACTATCCATACACAGGTTCGTTTGTCATTTAAGCTATACATGGTTAGAAAAACACATCAATGAATGGCTTCTTTAATATAGTTAACAAATCCTTTACAATAAGTTCAACAATTTTATTTAATTCTGAATCTATTAAACAAATAATGATGAAATGCACTCCTCCCTCCCCCTAAACAAAAAGACATCTTACTTCATGTGAAAACAAGTAGAAAGTATGTATTTTTAACAATACACTACGTTGATCAAAGCCTTTTTTAGGAAAAAGAACATTTCTATAAAATAATAATAATAATAATAATAATAATAATAATACCTATTTTCGAGTCACTGTGTATTTTGCACTCGTTCGAAAGCATAAAAGGTGCAATTGCAACGTCTTCTAGCAGTTGAACAGCTTGGTATTCGTCAATAACACTAACATTGCCAGCTTCCATCCATTTATCCAGCGAAAAGTCTAATTAAAAAGGTGTATGTATGTAATAACGATACATGACATATTGTGATGTTACATGTACATTTGAGATATATTATCTTGAAAGTATCTTTGAGGACATTAAGAACCTTAAAAACATAAGCACATTGCAAAAAAAAAAAATATAAAACAACATTTCTTATGTAAGCCTGCATTTAAACTGCGATTGTGTTGATGTTTATGTTATCAGGCTCTATACAGGCAGTATAAGTTTGTTATTACATGATCTTCTCGAGCGCTCAAATAGTTAGTCTATCTTTGGTGCTACCGATAGTATTATTAAAAAAATGTTTTCGATCTTTAACATAACATGTAGACAGTATAAAGATCTGCAAAAATTGGCAATTTCTGCGCGGACGTTTTTTAAGAGGTAAAGTTATACTGTTCTTAACCATGCTGACACTTTTGTGTGACAGAAAATGATGGAAATACCGAACGGTATGTGTATTGTTTGGAAAAAATGATACAATACCTGTAGCTATAAACCCAGAATTGACCTGACACGGCAATCGTGGTACGATCACATCGTCAAGGACGTTCACTGACATTGCAGCTGGTTTGTGTGCTTCCAATTGTACATCTACAGCTAAATCTAACATATATTTGTTCTTGTACTCTAGATTAACAACCATGAACCTGTAATGGTGGGAACGAATGATTTGACAAAGCTTAGCATTTTTGTTATTATCATATCAACTATAAAGATGTACTAGGGAACCTATGAACCACAATTAAAGGTTGTAAACTTATATTACTAGGGGTGTTTCATATATAGCAAACAACAGTGTATTCACGATCATATCATTTGTCCTGTTAGTACTGCATGTTACCTTCTTTCAGGAAAAAATAAAAATTAAACATCAGTTTACCGCAGCCGTGCATATAATCAGTTACAAAGATTTGTTGACAGGTTATATGGCTCAGTATAAACGGTGGTTTGTATTTGTAACCCGGATCGCCATTTTCTATATATTTTTTTTAAAAACCGTTTATATAGGGCCATATAACCTGTCAAGAATCTTATAACGAACTCATAATACAATAAATTTCTTTTTTTAAAGAATAAAATTAAATATCTTCATAAATTGAAAGCAGCCGTGTATATAAAAATATATATTAAACGTCACGATTATCCAATTTATCCAATGAAACATAACGTTACAAACGACTAGTTGCATGGAATGGTATACAAAGTAACAAATACAATCTCCTTACTGTAGCGCTATTAATCCATCCATGTCAAACACGATCTTTTTACCTACAAATAAAAAAGGCAAATTTTTGAGACACAGCCATTTTTGGTGTATATTGCAATTGTGCTTACTATTTTGAAAAAGTATAAATATACTGTATTTTTATGTTCAGTCATCGATATTACAATTTAAAATACTTCAATTGTGTTGAATAAATAAAACATGAAATTACCAAACTCGAAGGCAGACAATTTCCTTTCCATCACCAGGTTTTCGATGCTAGCTGATATCTGATAATTACAGTCGTCCACTTGTAGAGAGAAGCTGAACTTTCGATTCATCTCACCAACAAACACGCAGCAATTGATATTCAAACAAGATGAGTCAATCGAGCACTCTGCGTTGTTTGACAGTGCAGGTAAGTTCACTTTCAAAGGGCACGCTAAAAGACAGAAAAGGAATTTTGATGTATTGTACATAAAATGCATGTTATGTTTTACCAAACTCTATTAAAATGAAAGAAGTTTCTTCAATTATAGCAGGACAAGTAGATATTTTCAAAATATCATTTAACTTACAGTTGTTCCAGCCATCCGAAGGTCTTGCAGACGACAAGGCACATTCGGTATCTTTAAGGTATTGACTAATTCCGATGGTATTTGCGAGTACGTCAAACTGAATCTGTGAAAGTGCAGCACCTTTGTTAACACCATTCTCGAGTTTCCAAGTACCAAGAGAAAAGTCTGAAAGTGAGTAACAGAATAACATTTCAACGTTACTATCATGTCTTGCGTTTATGGTTTAAGGGTGTGTAGCAAGTAAATTCTTCCCCGCTGAAGGATAGTCATAATATTTGAAACCATTACTTTCCTTGTGCCCGATAGATGACTAATATATTCTATGAACAGAAATTTTTTCATAGTTCACGATATGTTATATTGAAGCTAAAATTGATTCATGAAAAGTAAATTTGTAATCATCATTATTATCAATCGCAATATTCATATGCAGAATACAGAAATAATTTGCACGTACTTGCATTATTGAATCCATTCAGCCAACTGCAGTTTGCTTTAGGCAAAAGAGCTCGTTTGAGAACAGGAATCATATATGAACAGTTTCCATGACTTTCAAAGCAAGCGCTTACGTTCATATCTACGACATATTTACGTCCACCGTGGAAGTTTTCAATCTTGAAACTAGATGAAAATGGAGAAAACATTGACGTTAAATCAAACTATCATGCGTTCTACGACTTTCATAATCTGTAACCTTAGCAATAATTGTAAATCTTCTAAGTTGTTCCAAGTCTAATAATTCGTAAAAATAAATACTGTGTAATTGTATTCAATTTTCAAAATAAAGTATTAAACACAAGTAGTCTACTTAACGCATGCAGTTATATTTATTTGATGTCATTAAACTATTATGAAAATAAAAGTAGTTTTCATTTCTTTTTTTCTCGATCTCTTAGAATGAAGCACGCAAATTGTACATTGTATTAGCTATTGACATCATAGAAGTTGGTTGATCTCACTTTTAGAAATTTCTTAAAATCTTGTTATAAATTTTACAGAAAGTGTTTTTAACACTGTGTAAATTAAATATACAATAAGGTATAAAACTATCTGCTTTTACTTTAAAGTCTACAATACTTACTCTATCTTGTAGACTCCGTTCAAATAGAAACGATCCCACGAGCCTGCAATGTAAATCTGATATATGTATCAGAAATAATACAAAAAAAGCAATCGGTGGTAAAATAATTCTTATATTTTAATTTTTAATTGAAAACAATAAAATTATTCTAATATTTAATGAAAACATGAACGATTGCTGAAGACTTATCTCAGAATTTAATTTTTTTGAGAAACATAGTGCGGCTATCTTTTAAGACAGGGAAAGCGATGTGTTTGTTTTCGACGCATGTTATTTGGTCGCTACAAAATCATGGAACAAATGAGAATGAAACAGTTACAGCTGTTGTCTTACCAAATTTGTAACCACTGATGTCCTTGACAGTGTTCATTTGTTCAATACCAACTGTTAATTGTTTTTCGCATCCGTCAACGGTGACATAAAACTGAACAGATGTTTTAATGATATCAACTTCAAGACAACAACGTATTGCTGTACACATGTCAGAAATATAGCATCCTATACCTGACGGCAGGGGTGCTAATGATAATTCTGATGGGCATTCTGAAAAAGATAAAGACTATGCTTGTAACGTCGTCTTTTATAAGAAATATCTGAAATTTTAGCTAATTTAGATAAATCTACGCAGGGTCAGCTGAGAAGCGAATTCTTTTCACTGGTTTAAGACTTCTTCTGAGTTTGATTCCATGACTAATTAATATATGTGTCATATGAGACAACCTAATCATGTCCTGAATAGGACCAAAGGGCCGAGGAGAAAATGCATTATTGACAAAAGTAGAACCTCCCCTTTGAAACCCATTGAAAAGCAATAACAGTTTCAAATATTTGCAAAGCAAGACCTTACATTAAATTTAACCTCTCTCCAGCAACAACTAAACAATATGTAGTTCTGCTGACAGGATTTCAAGAGGAAATTTGCAAATACCACGAGACATATACCGGTATTCCAGCCGTTTTGTGATGGTGAGAATGGCGGTTCAGAACGATAGCAGTTATTGTCTCCTATATACGGCGCCACACCAAGTGTTTCGAGCAGTTGTTGGTCTTTTTGGGAAAATCGGTTTTATCTCCTTTTTGATTTCCCGATCAAACAAAACCCTTCTTTTAGAGAAAATTTCTATAAAAAAATAGCAAAAAGAATTTTTACAATTTTTTTTGATATTCTCATTAAAAAAAATTTAATCTTAAAAAATTTTAAAAAAAACTAGAATTATAGCCGCACAAAATAGTTTTAGTGTAAACCTAAGAAAAAAAGGTTCCTTTAAACACAACTTATTCAAGCGCGTTTAAAATCATACTGAAATAATTCTTAGAATTAAATCCAAATTGTTGAAATAGTTTTGCTGAGGTCAAGCCAAAATTGTTAAGAAGATAACATTTTTATGTAAATTACTAACATTGGTTTTTAAATCTCATATCCCAGGAGCATGGCAATTTCGGAAGTACTGTTCGATCAAAAATTGCATATGATTGTTCGCAACTGTCGTTCGTGAAGCAAATGTTAAAATCTAAGCCTACGACATAAACTCCCTTTGTTGTAAGGTCATCAATGCGAAATCTGAAAATGAATAATGACAGTCATCATCAATGATAAAAATACCCCTTTTATTGCGTCGTTTATCTACTTTGACAACATATCAATGTTGTTGGACAAAAGACTGTTTCAAAATGTAATCAAACCTAAGTGTCGTTCTGCTCAAACCTGCTGTTCTTTGATATCCATCTTAGCAAAAGATAAAAATATTGAAAATTCGCCCGGTCGGTAAAACATTAGATTGACATATACCCTTCAACTTACTTCAGCATGAAGACATCTTTGAGAATTATTCCTCTTTCTTTACCTAAAATTAAGAGAATTTTGTTTATTACATATATATCGTTTGCAGCGTATAATTAACCACTGAAGACCATTTCCTTTCTATTCTTTGCAAAATAGGAGTCTTATTTGAAAAAGTCTGTATACCATTTAAAGTTATATATTGGCGTCTGTAATTTTAAAACGATTAAAAAAATGTTATTCTTGTTAAACAGTATTTTCAATAATATTTTTAATATTAAGTTATTATCAATATAAAAGTATTTGAATGTACGTTAAATTTTTATACTTTTGAAACGATTTAAATATGTCAACCTTATCCAACATTGTCGTCAATAAATACTGTCATATATCAATATTTAATACTTGAATAAAAGAAAGTGTCTAAACCAATTAAAGATGTCCAAGTTGTAAAAGTTGAAAATGAAATGACACATCATATTTACCGAATTCGTAGTCAAATAATCCCACTGAAAAAGTGAACTGTTCAATACCAACTTCTAGTAAGGCGTCACATGAATGGAGTCTAAGGTAAGCATGGATGTTCCGATTGATAAGTGGTATATAAACGCAGATGTCAGCTGCTGTGCAGTAGTGAGGTATATGACAAGACACTTCGTTACTTATTGTCACTGGATTTTTTAATGTCAACGGGCAGTCTGGAAAAGATAATATCATATTTCTATAAATTCTAAGTTGCATCTTAGTTTATAATACGGCATATTAGAAAGGGACAATCAAGACGTTTATATGATGTATAATAATATAATCACGAATTGACGTCTGTTTAGATCAAAGACAGCAATAATATTGTGCAATAGCATGAATTCTTATAACGACATGTACTATACGCATAAATCAACAAGTAAAGACGGTTGTAAGCTATATAAACATCCAAGCTTATTTGCATATGTATCGTAACATATAACCTGTCAAAATAGTCAGTTTTGGACACTGAAAACAATATTGTTTTATATTAATTCCTCTTTATGTCTACCTGATGAACAACTGGATGAATTAGACAAATATGGTGCTACATGTCTATCACATTCCTTATCGCCGAGATACATCGACAGTTCAATATCATTTGCAAGTATAGTAGCGATGTAAGATGGAAGCGTGCTCATGTCTGCAAAACCTCGTTCTGAAAACCAGTTAGCCAATGTGAAGTCTGAAAAAAAATTTCACATTTCATCATGTTGTTAATCGGCATCTGCAACTTGGTCTCGGGAGCATAGACGATAATGCAGCAATTAATATAAAGTTTTGATAATTTTTTTTTACAAATTTAATCTACATACTGGTGATATTTTAGCTAGGAAAAACTCAT